ACGCAGCGACTCTGAGCACGGAAACCTCCCCTCCTCTGCTTCCTCTGGGTCCGCAGCCAAAACGATCTTCGGAAACCCCCGGACGTGGGCCCCTGACCCTTCACACCGTGGCGCAGCGGCCATGGAGTGGTCTGCCCTCTCCTCGGAATGGCTTCATCCTGGAGGGGACTTGCTTCGTGGGCCACCTGTCGGCAGTGGCGCTTGTCGAGCGTGTGGAGAGCGCCCTTGGCTCCATCCTGCGCCGACATAGGCCCCCCCGTTGCTCGGTGTCTCGGTCACTTGCGCCTGAGTAATGGCAGAGGTGGGCGCACATCTCTAAGCAGAGCAGCTGGGCTGGTTTTGTTCCTTTAATTTGCGACGTGACTATGATCAGGCGTGGCCGAGCCACGGGGACGGCAGCCCCGTCTCGGCCGAGGAGAGCTCTAGTCGGCTTGGCCCGCGCTTTATCCCCTGGTGATGTCAGGCCCGTCGGGCCACGCTGTGAGGCTGGGGCTCGGTGCAGTGTGCGCTGACACAGCGGCCCTTCTCAACGCGGCTGCCGTGGCCTCTCCTCTTGCCGTTCACGCCTCAGAAACCTCTCCACATTCAGACGTAGACGAAGATGATGCACGTGACGCGTCTAGCAACTGGACTCGCGGGAGTGAGAGCTGGGGGCAGTGGTGCCCCCAGAGCCGTGTCCCGGTCCCAACCCCTGGATCTGTGACGTGGCCTTATTTGGAAAGAGGGTCTCTGTAGATGTCATCACGTCAGGAGGAGGTCATAGGGGATTGGGGTGGGTCCTGGTCACGGAGAGGGAGATGCCACGTGAGGACAGAGACACACGGGTAAGCGCCCATCACGAAGGGGGCAGGGGGGTGAGGCTGGCTGGCGGAGGCAGGGAGGACCCTCCCCTGGAGCCCCCCCGAGGGAGCCCAGCCCTGCCCGCACCGGGATTGTGGACTCTGGCCTCCGGAACTGCGGGAGTCTCTGTCCTGAGCCACGCAGGTTGTAGGCTTGCTGAGAGATTCCTACGGCACCACTGGTTCCTAGACAAGCAAAGTCGGCCTAAACCAGTGAGACAACGCAGCCCAAGATGTCCGTAGCCCATTACACAGGGATGTGGTCTCTTCTCTGTAACTTGCTCCTAACTGTCCTGTTGTTTATAAAGTGAGGAAACTCTGACATGCTGGACAGTAGGATTTGCAAGATTAAAGCTTTCTCTGAGATAAGGTGTTGCTGCTGAGAAAGGCTCCCTGTTTGGGTTTGGACGAGGCCAGCTGGGCCCATGGGAGCGCGCAGAGACCCCAGGGCATGCTCCTGCACACGAGGGGCTGGTCTGCAGCCCTCCACTGGCCACCGGAGAGACGCCCGCTTGCCAGCCCAAGGGCTGCTCTCACGCCAGCCATGCTCAGCATCGGGTTTGCTGCTGTCAGTTACAGGGAGCGCTGCTGACAAGGGTGTGTGACTTGGCAGAGATGCAAGTGGGGGCAGAACTCTTTCCGCATTGCCCAGTCGGGGTACCGACCGGGGCAGGCCGAGTCCGTTCACAGGCAACACGGCTGGGACGGGGCCCCAGGTCCCAACTCCACCCCGCGTCCCCTCTGCCTTTCTTACCTTGTTTGCCAGGCTCCCGCTCTGGGGCAGACCTTGCGGGAGCTGTAGGCACCTGGCCACACGCTGTCCCTGCCCTTGTGGGGCTCGCAGTCTCGGGAAGTACATGCGCACACACGTAATGAGCAAAGGGAGGGCAGGGCAGGCCTGGGATCCAGTGAGGGAGGAGGGCAGGCACTGCCAACAGCCGAAAGACCGTGCCCACCAGGAGGGACGCGGGCACCGCAGGGCGAGCAAGCTGCCCCCGCAGCCTGGGGGAGGGAGAGGGTCGGGCCGGTCGGTGACCGTTTCTCGCGCTTCTCCTAAGTTAGGAGATAGAGCGGCAAACGGGGGTGACGGCGGTGGCAGTTCCCGGGCCCACAGGCACCGAGGGGACCGGACAGACCCCGGCTTGAGCCGGCCGCGAGGGGGCGGGCGCGTGGGGGTCCCCGTGGAGGCAGCTGTCCTGTCGTGGCCACTGCGTCCATCTGTGGCTTGTCTTTGTTTCTGAGGTTTACGAACTCTAAGGACACTTCATGTCACATACGTGTAAATTTTCTGACTGTTGAAATGGCGTTTAGCAGAGGGGCACAATCCCGACATCTTTCCAAAGAGACACTTATTTTCCTGGTTTTATGTACGTCAGGCCATTGTTTCTCGTCTTCACTTGAGAAAACACTGACCTGTGAGCAATTAAAAGGGGAGCTCTGTAATGATTCCAGGAGTGTTAATAAAGTGACAACTGTCAGCTGAATCCTTGATTCTGTCACGATTGGGACACTGGAGGAGCCCTTCCGATTAAAAATGCAGTGGGCAAAATGTGACCAAGGTTAATAATGTCACTGCAGAATTGAGCGAGCAGGAGAAATCAATGTGGCAGAGTCCTCCTCCTGCAGGACTGAGTTCTGTGGGGAGCTGACCTGAGATGCGGCCGGTGAAGGGTGAGTTGTAAATGTGCCCTCGCTGACCCCAGTGACCCTTAGCAGGGTTTTAATGGCTGACCCAGCCCTGGCCATGTGGCAAAAACTTGGTTCTGTTGAAAATGAGTGCAAGACTGACTCTTACCAAGTGGTCTTTCCAACACTTCCGTGCGGCTCCCAGAGGTGGATGGAATGAGCACCTGTTTCCCGGGACCCTTGGGGTGCTGCTGGCAAGGCTGGCTGGCACCGTCTGTCCGGTGGTGAGACGGACAGCGCGCCTCCGCACACCAAAGTGTTGGTCGTTAGGATGTGGCAACCCGTATTTACAGAGCGTCTGTTAAGGAGATGCACCTGAGTCGGGGAGACGACACCCTTGAGGTTGTGATTAGCAGACTGAGGGAGGCGACGAAGCTGTGTGAGTGGGAAGGCGTTCCCGCCGAGGCAGGCACCAGCAAGGGTGGCCTGAGGGGGTGTTGGTAAGCCGGGCTGGTGGTGGCCGCCCTCCGTGGGCAGCCACAGAGCAGACGGGTGGGGAAACCACGGAGAAGTGTGGCTTGAAGGGATGCTGGCTCGTCGGGCTCAGGGTAACCGACGCAGGCAGGAGGTGACAGCGATAGGACTTGGTGATAGATGGGACGGAGGAGAGGACGGTGAGGGCACAGTCAGGAACGAACGGCTGCCGGGCCCCTGGCTCCATCCACATGGAGACAAGGAAGCAAAGATGGACCCGTCAGGGGGTGGGAAGGGCCGGGGCTGTGGTGTCTGCAGAAGAGTCTGGTCTTGGGGGCAGAGGTTGTGGGGCCTGGTGTATCCGACGGTCCAGGAGGGCTGGGGCCCAACCCCACAGCCTGGCCTGTTCGGGGGCCTCTCCCCCTGGCCACTGAAGGCCTCTGAGACATTTGCTGACAAATACTGCATCCTGGAAGACCAGTGTGTGTTTGCCTCTGGACCGCGCTCCCCCGTGATTGCAGGTGTGGTAGTATTTGCATCTCCCTCCCTTCCGTCGCCCCCTGGCTCAGGTGACCCCAGTCCCTCTGGAGGTGCTGCCTTTGCGGGGCGTGCCTAGGAACGATCCAGCGGGGATGCCCTGAGAGCAGCCCCCACATCGTCCTTCGTGGCCACCCCCACTTCACGTGCGGCCCAGAGGAGTGTTCCCTCTCAGCCTGATTCGGAAGGGAGTCTTGCAGGGTTCCACGCTCGCTCTGGGGTTTAAGTCTTCCTCAACAAGCTGAAACACCACTTACACGAGAAGAAACTTACTTATGTGCAGCTTTCTGGAACGTGCCTGTTACGTTTAAAAGCTTTTCTTTCACCACATTAATCAAATTTAATCTCTTGAATGATTTACGATAAGACACACTAAGAAAATTTGTTTTCTGTTTTGTCCTAATGCTCATCCCCCCGCAGAGCTCCCTGTGTTTGGCGTCAGACGCTGCGGTCGGCCCTGAGCATGTTTTCCCTCCTCCTGTACCGTCTCCACGCTGATTAAATAGTTGGGCTTCTGCAACAAAGCAGCACAGAGAGGAGATGCAGAGGCCTCCCCGTTTCTCACGCTCCTCCAGACGTAGCTGAAGCGGCCCCTCCGAGCCCCGTGGCACTTTTCGGTCAGTTCCTCATGTGGCGTCTGCCCCCGCCGCGAGCTTTTCCAAACCCTTGCTGGTTTGGAGCCTAATGCCCTCGTGCTCTCTGAGATTCCCTCACAAGCAACCACACATCTCCCCAGACACAAACCCCTTTCTGGGTCAGCTTATGAAAATCACTTCCGTTGACCTTGTTTGTGGTTGAAAGAGTAACCCGCCCCATGAGACAATGACGACAAAAGGGCAGAGCTGTGTTTGTAATGGGTGACGCGTGACGCGTGACGCGTGACTTGGGGTGCTGAGAAGCAGGCGTGTGGGGCTGGATGGCACAGAGGATCGCAGGGGTGTGGGTCAGGCAGACACAGGCGGGTCTCAGGCCCTCTCAGCCCACGCCCTCTGTCCTGGCTGGCAGCGGCCTGGGGAAGTGTGGCCCCAAGGGGACGTGGCAGCTCGAGGGGGCGGCGTGGCCGGCCAGGTGTGCTGCTGAGACAGGTTCTCTCCAGGAGGCCCCCACATGTGGCCGAGAAGTAACGATGCCCACCCCTGGATGACAGAGACCCAGGCCCCCCCCCACTCCCAGGAAGTGTTTCTGGCCGTGAATGAACCAAACTTCATAGCATTCATTATTTTAAAAAATTTCCCCCAAATCACCCACAAAACCCATGGTCATTGCTTCTAGAGGAATTCAGTGAAGGCTTTCCATCAACGCTCACAGTCTAATTTTCATCCTCGGGATTTTGTTCCCTTCTGAAAAGAATGTCAGAAACCAATGAACAAATGAATAGGACATCAAAGGAGATCACTTATGATAAGAAAATGTTATGCATAATAAAAATTAGCACATGTTTAACAAAAAAATTTCCTCTAGTAGAAGTCATTCCCATGTTAATTTAATCCTGCTGTCTAAGATAATATAATCTCTCTGAAACAGTCTCGACTTTAGTGCCCAGGGACCTTTCCTGGATCAGAGGCCGAATTTCCATCACCTGATGAGCTCATCTGATGTGACAGCCTTGGATGCAGATGGGGAGTCTCCCGTCAATAGCTTTTCCTCAGAGACAAAGAGAGGCAAACGTCTATATTCATTCCCTCCCCTCATGCGTGAGTAACACCAGCTCTCCCCTCGTCCTCTGTCTCTACCTGGGAGTCACTGCAAATTTAAACTTCAGCTTTTCTCTTCCGAGCTGGCTGTGCTTTTGCAGAGCTGTTTACGGACGCCCAGCAGCCTTGTCTATCTGTTTACGTTCAGCGTGTTTTGACATGTAAATTTACATGAGGCATATTTAATCAGTCACAATGATATGCTAATTGGATTCATCTGTGAACTGAATAAAAAGCACATTTGAAGAAAAATGAAGTGCACTTATTACCAGCTGAGGCACTTTGTAATCAGCACTGTACATCATCGAAATGCGAAAAGATAAAGGTGCCAGGTATTTGGTGGGGGAACCATGATGGCCCTAATTCAGGTGAGCTTTTCTAGCCTCACTGACCTGCACGCACAGAGTTGTGTGTGTGCGTAGCTACTGCAACAGGCCTGTCCCTGTTCTCTTTGGGGCTGAGCCTCGTGATCGCTCGGGACACCGCAGACCAGAGCCATTAGTAAATCCATTATGAGTGTGTGAACGTGTGCAAGCGTGTGAGCACAAATGAGTGTGTATGTGAGCCTTCACAAGCATGTGCGTGAGTGTGTAAGCACATGTGAATGTGAACGTGTGTGCAAGTGTGAGCATGGATGTGTGCAAGACTGTGAGTGCATGTGAATGTGTGTGTGCAGAGGCGTGTGTATGTGAGCACATTTGAGTGTACAAGCATGTGTGCCTGGTGTGAGTGTACATGTGTGTGTGAGTGTGAGCACAGTGTGGACACGTGTGTACAGAGGCGTATGCATGTGTATGTGAGTGTGCAGGCGTGGTAAAGTGTGAGCACTGTGTGAATATAGCTGAGTATGTAGGTGTGTGTGACTGTGGAGGATGTGTGAGTGTGCAAGCATGTTTGGGCACTTGTGAGTGTGTGAATGTGTGTGGCTATGCAAGCCTCGAGACTGCAAGAGTGAGTGTGAGCCTGGAGTAAATGTGCTTGAGTGTGAGTGTGTGAGCATGTGCAAACGTGAGCATTCGTAGGTGTGAGTGTGTTTGAGTGTGTGTGCAGGTGCAAGGGCAGAAGAGAGAGGCTTCCTTCCCTGCCCCCCCTCCCCCGAGTCACATCGCAGCTTAGGGACTGGGTGTGAGTGGAACTCAGATCAGGCAGTTCGGCTCCCTTCCCGAGAGCTCTGCCCCGGGCAGGAATGCCTGGAGCTCTAGGATCTCCACAAGGCTAAGTCTCCGGGTCGGCTGATGCAGGGCCCAGAGAGCCTGGGAGCTCCCTACTCCCCACTGCCCCACGCCTTCCGTGGACAAGGTGGCGGCCCTGGTTCTCTGCTCTGCTCACCGCACGTCGCCTTCATAGCCTGGAGTCAGAAACCAGCCAAGGGAAGCAAGGGTGTCTGGACCCGTGGCTTGCCAGGGGTGCCCCTCCAGCGTCTGGGGTTCTTCACCCCCTATCGTCACACATTTGCTCGGCCGTGCTCTGTGCTTCCTGTGCTCTTGTGTGTGGGGAGTGGACTTCTGGAAATTCAGCGGGCTCCTCCGTGGGAACCGCGGGTGTGAGTGGGGGGTCCAGTGCGGCTGCATGGACAGGGTTGGCCGCGGCCTCTGCGTTTCCAGTGTCTTTCTGTGTGAACGTGAGAGGTGCAGGGATGGGTAGCTTTTTCTCTTTGGTAGGCAGGCATGTGGGGAGCCGGGGGACAGGATCAGCAAGACAGCGGGAGGGAGAGGATGCGTCCTAACCCGTCCAACCCTCAAAGGGAGGGTCCCGTCACAGGCCACCACGTGCGGGGCAGAGGCTTGGCAGTGCCGTCTGCACCCGGGGAAAGCTGGGAGGCCGCATACAGAGCGTGCGGCCTGTGGGTCTTGGAGAACTCTGGAGGGAGGAGTCTGGGGTTCTGCTCACGAGTGTCGCTGGCCCACGCATGGTTCTCTGTGAATAACCAGAGAGTTTCTGGAGGCGACCGGCTTGAGCCCCTGAGGTCGAAGTCGCTGTCAACTTGTTTCTGCTGGGTAGGCTCCAAGACACTGAGCTGAGGAGATGTTAACGAAAACCGCATCCCCGAGTATTTATGATGCATGACTTAGTAAAGGTTTTGTTCTGTGAATTATGGTTTTCTTGGATTCTAGGAGAATGTAGAAATAAAAGCATAATTACTTTTAAAACAACCCATGAAAATCTGCGTCCATTGAATGGTTGTACTCTTTTCAACATGATTCTATCAACAGTGTCTTACATGGTAACTTTTCTTAGGCCACGTAAGAAGTACTTTGGCTTGGACATAACTTTCAGAAATATGCTTATTTTGTGAGTCAGGCTGCTCACTGCTCTGCTCTTACTTTATTTTTGGCATAATAAGAGGGGATGGTTAACAATGGATAATGTGTGCCTGGGCCACTCCTCTCTTCTTTAACCCCTGCTGGCACCAGAGGTAACCAAACTGATTCCTGAGCACCAAGTGTCTACCAGGCAGTGTTCTTTGAGGTGTGCAAAGGGTCAGCCTCCAGCTTGCAGCGGGAGCCATGAAGTTGGCCAGGCTCCCAAGGAGCTTCAGAGTCCACTGAGGGTCCAAGTGAGTGGGTCCTGGGTTTGGGTCTGCGGAGTCCAGATGAGCGAGTAAGGAGACAGGGCAGGAGTAGGTAGGGTGAGAGCAGGATCCACCAAGAGTGGTCTGAAGTCATCAGCAAGGGCAGCAGAGATCCCCCACTGGGGTACCCGGAGATGGCTGGGATGGCAGCCGGAGGACGGAGGGGCTTGGGCGTGGTGGGCGGGGCACAGCAGCTCCAGTTCTGTAGAGGGGCAGTGGGCTTTCGACAGGAGGCAGCAGGAGGAAAGGCACGCTGGAGGGAATAGTGGGACGTGGCAGGTCTGGAGCGCTGGGAAGGGTGTCAACAGGGCCTTGGCTTCGGAGACCTGAGCTGGTGACTCTGTGCCTGCCCTGTGACACCAGCTTAGGACACGTCAGCTGTCATTGTTAGCGTGGTCATGAGTAGATGAACACCTCATTCACGCTGTACCCCCAGAAACTGAGGAGTGATCACCCAGCCATGGGCAGAGCGAAGCGGAGAGGTTTCCATCCTGGAACAGAGCCTCAGAAAGATGGAGGTGAGGCTGGGGATCACGTCACTCCCATGGAACAAAGGTGCCTGCAAATGAACCACTCAAGTCTGCAGAGCCCAGGCACACTGCCTCGCCATCACGAGGACTTCGGTCTGAGAAAACACGGACGGGTGGGAGAGAGCTGGCGACTTCCAGAGGAATGTGGCGTTGTCCTGCTGCCGCTGAGAGAAAACTGGTCCAGGGCCGTAGAGCTCACATGTTACAGGGTCGGACAGGCATCACGTTCCCCGACATTCAGTTACGAATACAAACAGAAAAGTCGAAGAACGGTGCCTGACCATGTGCATGTGCATGTGTGCGTGTGTGTGTGTATGCACGCATGCTTGTGACCGAGTGTGCATGTCTATCTGTGCGTATGTAGAGGTGTGTGCACGAAGTGTATGTGCCTGTATATGTCTGCGTGTGTGTACATGCCCACATACATGTGCATACACATGTTCACAGTATCATTAGTCTTTCGATACATGTTTATAGAAGGAAAATGCCCTCGTGAGAAGGGTCCACATGCTACCCTGGGTGCCCTCCATGTCTGCCTGTCCTCTTTGTCCCTGTTCCTGCCCAGTCCTGCCACCCCCGCCTCATACCTGACATGGGTCTGCCTCACCTGTGTCCCAACTCCAGGTCACCGTGCAGAGCCCCAGCCTGTCTCTCTGAAATGTCACTTGGGTCAAGAACCTCCAGGTTGCTCCACAGATGAGCCTTGGCCATCCTTCCCTCCCTAGGCACCGGTTACGCCCTCCCTGGCCACAGCAGTGCGCTGTTGGGTCTGTAGTGCGGTCACCTCTCCGAGCCCTCCATGGCCGCACATGGGGCCCTGCCAACCCTTCCCCAAGGTCTGGGATGTCACCTCAGCCCTTTCTTGGAGTTACCGCAATCCCTTTTGGACATTGTCATGTGTGTCCCTCATTTTCTTCCTGGATCAGAGCCCACCTGTGGGAGGGAAAGGAGACTAACCACCTGCTTTGGCTTGTTTTGTTAATAAATGTGGTGGTGGGTGTGAGCGCGGGTCTGTCTGACTCCAATGGCCGTGACTGTGCCCCTAAGCCGTGTCCCAGGGATCGCCTCCCTCTGTGTGTCTCCTGGAGGAGGTGCCCAAGAGCGTGAGGTGCACTGTGTGTAGGGTAGGTGCCCAACCAGCATTGGGAACAGGTGCATTCTCATGGGACAATTATGTACCCAGAGGCTTCCCTCCACATCAGCAGCCTCCCTGCCCCTCTACTGACCTGGACGGATTAAGGTTAAATTAAAACGAAGCATGTGATGGACTTAGATGGACCTCTTGGCGAGCCTGTGGGGCCGGCACAGAGCTAAGGACACATACACCGGAGGGAGGAGGAGGGCTCTGCTTGTAAGTGGCGGCTGAAGGATTATTGCTAAGAAGTGCATTCCTGCCTTCCTGAGATGTGGATTTAGGAAATGTTCTGCAGGAAACACAAGAGCATCTCAACGCATCCTCCCTCTGTGCTGACATCCCGACAGAGGTGGCTCTTGCTGCCATTGGATGCTCCCCACCCTGGAGTACCGGCTGAGGTGCTCTGTGCTGGGAGAACATGCCCCAGAAGGAGGTCAAGGACCAACTCTAGGTACCCAAAGGGCAGTGTGTTGGAAAAGAGTACGAGGGCTCCAAGACTCAACACTTTGCTCCCGGGTCTGTCACCAACCAGCCAGGCAACTATTCGCAAGTCTTTTGCTCTCTTGATTCCTCAGGCTCAAAATGATACAACGGGAAGATTTCACTACATAATTATCTCTGAAATGTCTTCCCACTCAGCGATCTCTTGGAAACACAGGCCGTGGCCCACAAGCCGCCTGTGCCTCTCCCAGCTTTCCTCCTCTCTTGTGCACTCTGCTTCTTGTATCTTATCATTGCTGTGAGTACTTAAGACGTAGACCCAGGCCAGGCTGCCAGGGGAGCTGGGATGCTGCAAGTGGCATTTCGCTGGATAGCCAGGATCTTTACCACGGAAAAGTGAAAAATTGGAAATCTGATGAATGTAAATGTCTTTCTAATTTACATTTTTTTAATAAAGAAAACTTAATTCTCCAGCCATTTGGAGCCTCCTGGCATAGGGACTGGCTTT